TGATGATTTAATTACTCCCAACTAGGCCCCACCTCTTCTTAATTTGCCTGGGCTGGCCTTGAAGTGTGATCCTCCCAATCCCAGCCTCCCAAGTAGCTAGGATTACAGGCATGAGCCACCAGTGGCCATCTCTTGTGTTATGATCTTCCCGATCTCAGCTACTTTGGAAGGTGGCTAGGGTTACAGATGTGAGCCACCTGCGTGGGTAGGCCCCAAGTTGTTTTTTTGTTTTGGTGGCACTGGAGTGTGAACTCAGGGCCTCACGCCTGTTGGCAGCCACTCCACCAACCCCCACCTGCCCTTTTATTTTTGCAGTGCTGGGGTTTGAACTCAGGGTCTACACCTTGAGCCACTCCACCAGTCCTTTTTTGTGATGGGTATTTTCGAGATAGGGTCTCATGAACTATTTGCCCAGGACACCTGGATCCTCCTGATCCATCTCCTTCATAGCAAGGATTACAGGCACAAGTCACCAGAACCCAGTTTAGACCTCACCATTTCCCACCATCATCACACTGAGGACCAAGCTCCTAACACATGAACACTTTGGGGACATACTCAAGCCATATCTAAACCACTACATATATTTTGTAAAAGAGGAGCAAGATTTATAGGGAAGCCAGGTGCCGGAGGTTTACACCTGTAATCCTAGCTACTCAGGAGGCAGAGATCAGGAGGACCATGGTTTGAAGCCAGCCCAGGGCAAAGTTTTCAGGACTCTATCTTGAAAAAAAACGTCATAAAAAAGGGCTGGTAGAGTGGCTCATTTGGTAAAAGTGCCTGCATAGCAGCAAAAAAAAAAGGTAATATCAATCTTAAGATTTTACACACTCTTAGAAAATAGGAGTAAATATGTTCTAATTTGTTTTATGAGGCCAGCGTTACCCTTTATACTAGTTACTGATTTACTGCCTTTCAACCCCAAATTCACTATTTTTGTTTTTGGCTGTACCACTTGAGCCACTCCACCAGCCCCCTACAGCAGCTTTTGTGCCTGAGAAACCGCCCTATGTACAGATCCTCAGGGCTTTGTAGTACAGATTTCCAGTAGGTTTTCTGTCAAAGTGGCACCAGTGTCCCCTCTTATCATTCCACAAGTCACAGCCACACCTCTCCAAGGTTGATTTAAGCCTTGGAGTAGGTGGTGAGACTTCCCTGGGTCCTAACAGCCTTGGTGGGGTATTGTTAAGCAAAAAATATTAACTCCAAGAATAAGGGTCTTCCTTGATACTCTATCTCAGCCCTAATAGTGTTTATTATAGGAATGTAGTATTTGTTATTCTACTCTACCCAGTATTCCTGTGTTGTTTAGAGTTCTCTTTACTTATTAGGTAATCCTTCATTACTCCTATCCATTAAATGATTCTTTATACGAAGCCTTCCTCCTTCAAAATACTGTGTGGTTTCACTCTCTGGATTGAACTCAGGCTGATACTGAATTGGCATCTATAAGACCCTGGGAGAGGCACCAAGAGATAAAACCCATAAAAACAGGATAATGGAACTGGCTTGTTCATGCCTTTGGGCTTGAACACAGTGGTCTTCGCAAATGGGCTGTTAGTAATCCCTGCATGCAGGAACTTCACAATCAACCAAGCTATCTCCTGTGGCTCAGGAAGAGTCAACTTAAGTACATGCTTTAAGAGCCCAAGTGACAGCTGCACTTAATAACAACCATCCAGGACTGGTGCTGGGTGAATTCTTGAGTTCACCTGAGTGTTTACAAAGAAAAGGCTAAGGTCCATTAAATCTCAGTACAAGTCACAGTCTGAAAGTCACAAGTCACAGGGACAACTTTCCTGCCAGCTCTATGAAAGCTTTTAATTTCTAACAACCAGCTTTGAAGGATACTGAATATAATGGCAGTTGAATTTAGTCACATCTCTCATGTGAAAGGGCACTGACTCAGAAGGAATAGCACCTGAAACCTAGGAAAGACATCTATATGAACCCAGAACTGACAAGAATTTCCCCCCTACAAGTTAGAGCAGAGACAGTTTGCCCTAGAATGTCTGCTTAAAAACCCCAAGAAAACCTTGCCTGGGATGATTCCTTGGAAAAAAAAAGATATGTTATTCTACTTCAGATCCACCACATCCACCTTCAGTTGCCATTAGACTTATGACTAGGGTGTGAGCATGCTCTGGGTGGCTATATACACACTACAACTCAGGAAGAAATAGCTTATATGCCAAACTGGGAGGAATGGATAAGCAAAACACAATGGATACACACCATGGAATACTATGCTGCAATTAGAGGCACAGACTACAGTTTGCACTGAGGCTCCTGAGAGCAAGCACCCAACTCCAACATTATACTTGGCATTATGGGTAAATATATGTCTGAAGCAATGATGAGAAAGTTTATAAGGAATGACATACATTATGAAAGTTATGTAAATTAAGTACGCATAAACATCAATATAATTCAGCAAGAACATATACAAACAAAAGGGTATATATTAAATGCAGTAAAATAATTGCCAAAGGGGGGAATAAATGGGAGTGGGGATTAAAAAGTGAAGATGAGCTAGGCACCAGTGGTTCACACCTATAATCCTAGCTACTTGGGATGCTGAGATCAAAAGTTTGTGGTCAGCCCAAGTAAATGGGTCACAAGACCCTATTTCCAAAATAACCAGACCAAATGGACTGGAGGTGTGGCTCAAGAGGTAGAGCACCTGCTTTGTAAGCATGAAGACCTGAGTTCAAACTCTAGTCCCACCCATAAAAATGACTATGACTAATTCAGGAGAAAAAAGAAACTCAGCTTATAGCAAGGACTTTCAGCCCTTGATAAGATGCTAATCTAACATAAGGCAGTGGCTCCCTCCCCCAATTCCAGCCCTGATGATGACCCATGAGGAAAATCTAACACCATCCTAAACTCAAACTCCAGTATTGTCAAAGAAAAAAAACTCAGCCAGGGTCCAATGGCTCATGCCTGTAATTCTAGCTACTCAGAAGGCACAGATCATGAGGATTACAGCTCAAAGCCAGCCAGTGCAATAGTTCATGAGACCCTATCTTGAAAAACCATGCAGTAAAAAGGGCTGGTGGAGTGGCTCAAGGTGTAGGCCCTGAGTTCAAACCCCAGAACTGCAAATAAAAAAAATCCCCTATTATAATTATGAATGAGCAGAGTCCAAAACCAAGTAGCTTGTAGAAAGAAAACAGCACCAACAGAAACTTTGAAGGAGGAAAATACCACAGAAGGTTTTAAAATGTCTGTAGAAAGCCAGGCACTGGATGGCTCAAGCCTGTAATCTTAGCTATGCAGGAGGCAGAGATCAGGAGGATTGCAGTTTGAGGCCAGATTCACAAGATGCCATCTCCAAAATAACTAGATGAGCAGGTGCCAGTGGTTCGCGCCTGTAATCCTAGCTACTCAGGAGGCAGAGATCAGGATTATTGTGGTTTGAAGCCAGCAAATAGTTTGAGATTTTATCTCAAAAATCCCATTAACAAAAGGGTTGGTGGAGTGTGGTAAGGTAGAAGTGCCTGCAAGTGTGAGGCCCCAAGTTCAAAGCAGAGTATTAAAAAAAAAATTATCCAACAGAAAAAAAGAGGGCTGATGGAGTGGCTCAAGTGGTAGAATACCTGTGTAACAAGTGCAAGGCCATGAGTTCAAACCCCTGCACGGGGAAAAAATGTCTTTAGATACATTTACTATAAAACTAGTGATCAAGATAAGGATAAATATTACTTATCAATTTTTTTCAAGTACAGTAATGAACCCAGGCATATATGTTCCCATTAATATACTGAGGTAATGCAATCGAAGGGTAGTTTTCAACAAAAACTGCTAGAATAGGTATCCATATTCATAAACATGCATTTCAAATCTTACTTCACACAGGAATTGACCCAAAATGGATTAGAACCCTACTTTTTAAGTTAAAACCCCAAGATTTCTAGAAGATACAAAGACATCTTCATGACCAGGGAGTAGGCATTCTTGACAGAGGACAAAAAATAAGAACCATGACACATTTTCATAAGTTAAGATTTTATTTACTTATCAATGAAAATAAACAAGAATGACTGGGAGAAAACATTCACAACACTGACAACTTGTGCCCAGAATACGTAAAGAAACTCTACATTCAAAAAACAGGTAACCCACAACCCAATTTTTAACATGGACAAGAGACTTACTTTATGAATGATACACAAATGGCTGAATTAGCATGAAGATGGAATGCAAGTTGGGAAACTTCAGACAAAGGACAACAAAAAATGTGGACTCTGAGCCTGAAGTTTAGTTAACAGTAATGTATCAATGTTAATCTTAGTTTTGACAAATATACCAGTCACGTAAGATTAAAATTAGGGTGACACATATGGAAACTCTATACTATCTTTGCAACTTCTCTAAAAATTTTAAAAGTATTGAAAAGTTTTTTCTTTTAAAAAAAGTGCTCAATATCACAGCAATGGTGGAAGGATTGTAGAACCACCAGAATTCTTAAGTTGCTAATAGGTACAACAATTTTGGGAAACAATTGGGCAGTTCCTTAAAAATTAAACATTACCGTCTGCTGTATCACTCCAACTTAAGATATTTATACAAAGGAAATGACAATACACATCCAAGACTTGTACAATATTCTTAACAGCAATAGCTACAAACTGTATTAACAACCCAGATATAGATAGCAATTGGTATCATATACTAGAAGTCTACTCAGCAAGAAAAACGAGTGAAACACACAACTATGTAACATCAAAATCATGCTGAAAGCAGCTACACAAGTATACTTCAGTATTAAAGGTGGCAGAAATATCCAACAATAGAAACAATGGTACTATTTTGCTGAAGTTTGGGTGATTTACTGGGAAGGGACACTAGAACTTGGTGGATTACAGGATATGTTATAGATTAAGACAGGTTGTCTTGATCTAAGCCTTTCTCTAGACTGATAGAACTACATGGTATCTGTGCATTTCACCATATTTTATAACTATTGATATATACATGCTATATTACTTTTCTGGTTTTTTTTTTTTTTGGTAGGACTGGGGTTTGAACTCAGAGCTTCAGGATTGTAAAGCAGGCACTCTACTACTGCTTGAGCCACACCTCCAGCCTCAAAGTACTTTTCTGAAAGACAACTTTACATAAAGCTCCATAACGATTCCATTTACTTGATGTTCCAGAACATGGCAAAGTGAACCTACCACAATTAAGAGGAAAGATAAAGGTAGACATTGCCTGGGAAGGGGCAACAGATAGCTTTCTGAGATGGCAATGATCTCTACCTTTACAGTACATTCACTTAATATTTGAATAAATGAAATTTAAAACATGACCTTAGAAATTCAAATATTTACCTTGCTATTGATATGTTTTATAAAGAAATGATGGGAATGTTATTTTTCTGGAACTGGTGTGGAGCTGAGGCCTTCACAGAATTCAGATGATGACTGTGTCCAACTGGCCTTATAACCCAAATACAACTTTACTTTGGTGCAAATCAACAGACTTAGAATCAAATGTGTACTCAACAGGAGGTAAGTCAAGAGAAACTGAAAATTGCAAAAACAGTACCATATTATCGTGCACTGTTGGATCTATAGCATCCATCACTGAGTAACTTTGGCCCATACTGTTTGGGATTCATGGCCACAACCAAATTGTTACTGTTTCCTACTTCTTAGGTGTGATTCCTCACATATAATTTTTAGGTGAGGATTAAATGAAATCATCTGATTATCTTAACATGTATCTGAAGTGCATTCCTCAATAAAGCCTTGTCATGGGTAAAGGTCACCTTGGTGACTCTAGATGTTCCCTTACCACTGGAGCAAGTGCCAGTAGTGCACCCAGAACTCGTTTGGGGGATAGACTTAAGAAAAAACTTAAAGCCCAAATACACTTCATTTCAAAAAAAAAAGATGAAGAAAAAAGAACCCATCGTCACAAAAGTATACATGTTAAAGTTTTATTAGGTTTCGATACAAAACATTTCAAAACGTGAAGTTATCTAAATACCTAAAGTTCTATGTTCAAGTTAAAGAAGAAAAACATTTTACCATTTCTTTTACAATCAGTATAAAGATTCAAGACCAACTCTTTTTCCATTGGGAGTAGAATTACACCTCCTTGGTCTATAAACTGTCCAACAGGTGTCTGGGTTATTTAAGTATACCCCTTACCTTATTTAGTATTTATACTTACTATAATTAAGTCTTTTATTCTACACTATATGCAAGTAATTGAAAAATCTCAAGAGCCAAAAGGTCCTCAAAAAAGCACCTACTCAAGTAATAAGATTATGGAAGGCTTGAGCTAAGATAGCTATTCAAGTGCAACTACTAAAATTTGGTCAATACGCTCATGGTCTGTGATTAGGAATATGACCCATTAGTCATATGACTCTCATTAGAGTCATTTTTGGATTATCTTCCCCAATCACAAAAGTTAAACATAAGAGTAATACTTTTAACTACTATGCAAAAAACCCCAAAGTTGAGTTGGTTCCTCTAACCCAACAACTCAATCTGTTTCCAGTATTAGTATTTATAATACTATAAACCTCCAAAGCAGTAACTAGAGTTGTACACCAAGGTTTGTTTCCAAGACTGGGAATATGGGGTAGGCTTACAAAACATTACAGTAATCAAGTAAGTGTCTGAATTTTTTTTCCAGTTTCAAGCTTGCCTTCCATTATCTTAGCAATGTTTCCAGCTATGTTTTATTTCCTGGTATTAACTCCTCCCCCTTTAGTTTTGTTGTACAACTAAACTTTTTTCTGATAAGCTAACATCGAATGTTTTACTTGCTGAAAATCAGACACCACTGGATTAAAAAAAAAGTTACCACTTACTCCTATCATTTTTCTGATTGAACTTTCTGTTTTGCAGTGCTGAGGGTCGAACCCAGGGCCTCACACATGCTAGGCAAGTGCTCTACCAATAAGTTACAGCCCCAGCAACTAATTCAACTTTCTGATACTCAGTGGTAATTAGCTCTAAATTTCAGTTGTCCCCTCATGACTTTAGCTTTAAAAAAAACCAAAGCCAAAGCTATAAAATCTACCAGAACCACAAGAATTTCCCAAGTATCTCCACTTACCAATTTGTTTCCCCTTCTCCACTTCATTTTAAGTAACCACCACTCCCTAGTTGAGTGTTAACCAACTGAGGCCTCCCTCAGATCCCTAAGAACCCTGGAAGGCAAAAATATAATCTATTGCCTGCACCAAACCAACCAAACCAATTCTGATGAGCACTGCTTATGCAACTGTTGTGACTTATTGACAATCAGCATTCTTCTGCTTCAACAACTCTGTAAGAAAGCATGGTATCAAGTTACAAGGTATTTTTATAGTGCAAAGTAATCCATCCCCTAAATTCTTAAATATACTTTTGTTGCTTTCATTAACAAAAGTAATTTCCATTAAAGGCAGGCATAGGTCTGGAGGTATGTCTCAAGTGGTAGAGTGCCTACATAGGAAGCAGGATGCCCTGAGTACAAATCCCAATACCACAAAAAAAGAAAAAAAAAAAAAAGAGAAAAGGCAGCCACTCATTAGCATCATCTCTGTAACATTAAAATTAAATGTCATCATCATGCCAATAAAATTTATCAGATTACTCAAACTGAGAACTTTGCAGTGGCAACTGTATGACTAGCCAGTCAATTCATGATGTGGCTATGGAAATGAGCAGGCTTGACCTTCTAGCAAGCTTGGTATTAACAGTATAGATCCCATCAAGAGAACTCTCTCATAGGCAAAGATAACAGCACCTGGTTCAAAACAGTTAATATTGCTAACTGGGGCATTAACAGAAATACACCTGTTCCCACTCCACATTCAAAAATGGACATGCCAGGTGTTACACATTAAAAGTGTTTCCTAGTTTTATCCAGCCTTAAGGAGCGATGCCATGTGATCTGAAGGTACATGGACAGAATTGGTGGACATCATGTTAAGTAAGCCAGGTTCAGAAAGACAAAAGGCCTCATGTTTTCTCTCATAGGTGGAAAAGAAATCAAAAGATATACACAAAAACAAACATGATCATATACAAACTTATATGGAGAACATGTTTGTCATAGTGGGAATTACTCGAACTAGGGGGAGGAGGGAAAGGAAAAGAATGGCAAGAATCAACAATATCGATACATTCATCTGTGCAGGTAGAAAATATAATATGTATTGAAATCTGTTGAAAAATGGGGGATGGGAGGGAAGGGAAAGAGTAACCAAAGGGAATGAACTGACCAAGGTATACTCACAGCAGGAATACATTGAGAAACCCCTTTGAATACTGATTCTGGAATAATGAAAGACAGGACAAGATAGGTACAATGGGGGGGGGAGATACTTGTGAGAGGAGGAAGGGTGAATGGAGGAATATGGTTGATGGGTTTCATATATGTGTATGTAATAGACAAATGAAACCTCTTGCAATTGCTGTAAGCGGGGTGGGAGGGTGGGGGAGGTGGTGGCAATCTAACCAATGCAGCATAAGCCTATTTGGAATTGTAGCAATCAGTCTCCCCTGAACAACAAATACATCCTAATAGAAAAAAACTGTTTCCTAGAATTGAGCATAAACACCCTTTTACAAAGGATCAGAAAACAAAAACACAAACACTTGCCAGCCAGTCTAAGTACTGAAGCCTCCAAAGGTCACTGCTTTCCCAAACTTACCTTAGCATTTGATTTCTCTTGCTGCCAGCTTAATCTACTGTGAATACATCAGCATTCCATGAGCATAATGACCATAGTGCTCAACCTGCAAAAATTAAATAGATGAAAACTAGTTATCTCTCTTAAGGAAGTTCTTGTAACATTTGCCTATAACTGCCCTCTTTTCCAGAAAGAAAAGGCTAGTTCAGACTTGCAGCTTAATGCATTATTTCATGTTCTACTACTTCTCATAAGTGGTGGAAGATTCACTGGCTTGGGATGGACTGGAATGGTTTAAATGGTTAAGTTGCATGGCTTATGGATTCTCATTCTGTTCCAATGGTGCACTGCCACGTTAAATCCATAAGTTGAACGGACAAAACATTATTTGAAGGAAAAGTGAAGTATAAGGATTTTTAGTTGGAGGTCTTCAAGTTTACTATATTCAAGAGCATCTTTTTCAACTTCATGGCTGGACCTGGGTCATGCTGCCTCAGGTTTTGCTTTTTAAAGACCACTTGCAATAGATTTTCTCCATACAGTGTAGTTTCATAGAACTAAAAACAAGTCAGGCATCCAACTAAAGGTCAAGTTTGCAATGGCTTATAGGGGTAAAAGAGGGGGACCCCAAACCTAAGCCATTTCTTATATTGAGTAAAAGTCTAATTTGAGGAAAAAAAATATTCAAATACATGAAGCATGTCTAAAGGTCTTCATCAAAAATACTTAAAAAAAAAAATACCCCCTCCCATCCCCTGACTGCTATTGGGAAACAGCTGTATAAGGCCTTTAAGTGTCATACATGCTTTTAAAAAATCCATGTGTTGAATTTGGAGGACTTCTAATATGCTATTGAACATTTGTTTTTCCAAAAGTTTTTTTTTAAATCTAGAAGGCATTTCCATTGCCATGAAGTACAGTGTGTTTCACTGTACTATGAGGAAGGTAAGTGTTCAATTTCGACTTAGACGATAAAACTAGTTTGCTTTGCTTACCATCTTTGCTGTTTCACAGGCATTTGATGCTTTAAATCTGATGTGGAATGCTGATAGATTCACTTTTTAGAAGTCATAAGCCTTTAGGAAGTTGGAGATAACTTCATTGCTTATCTATTTTCTCCTTTGCAATCAAGCTGTTCCTTTAAAAGTGAAACACTACAGAGTTGCAAAAATTTGAAACAGTAAGAGCAAGCATGTTTGCAGCTTCATGGTTGGTTTTGGCCAAACTTTTTATTTAGTATTCTGTAGTTGTTTAACACACACTTAAATGGTCTTATTGGGGGAGGGGAAAGGGGAGGTCCTTGCAGATTCCCAAGGAAATGTCAGAAAGGCAATATGGCCAGCATTATCCATTTGCTTTTTTGGGTTTACTGGGTGAAATAGCACTTTCCTCACATAGGTATCTGATCTCAGGTTTTTCATAGACTGAGAACAATGAGATTTCAGTTGGAAGACAACCTGAAATCATTTAGAGTAGCATACCCCGACCACCCTCTAACAGCTAGCTTGTCTGTACAGGAAGGATGGTTCATCTCTCAATGGAGACCAATGTACATCTAGATGGCTAGATGTTTGTGGAAGATCTTAGAATTGCTTGCCTCATTTATTGGGAAAAATTAAGATAGAAAGTGGTCTTTAGGGACACTTTTACTTGGAAAATTACAACACTAGTACAAGTCAAGTCTTACACATTTAACATCTGCTTGTTGAAAGCAACTCATATCAAATAAAATTAAACATGTTTAAACTTTTTTCCCTCACAAGAACATAAAAATTATGAAGGAGAACTTAACAGGAAATTTTAAAACGGTAACACAATTTTTCCTTTTAGTAGTCCTTGGGTAGTTATGACAGAATAGTTTCCACTTTTTTGTTTGTTTCTTTGAATGGGGATTTTGGTCCAAGTTTTGTTTGTTTCTAGTATCTGCTTCTGCCTCCCCCTCTATCAGATCGGCTTCCTCCACGGCCACCACCTCTTGGTGCTCCGCGGCTTGAACTGCTGTAGGAATCGCGTGGAGGAGGGTACCCCCTTTCCATAGAAGGAGGAAGCCCTCGTTCTTGTCTGCCAACCCGATCACGACCACTTGAGTAGAGATCACTTCGGCTGCTTGAGTAACTGTCTCGACTTCCACCATATCCGTCACGTGAGCTGCTGTAATCATCATAGCGACTGCTTCCACCATAAGATGGCGGGGGCCCTCGTGTAGGTGGAGCACTACGTGAGTTACCTGCAGGGTCAATGGTCAGGTAATATGGCAACACTATAAATTGTATATATACAACATTTAAATCTGAACTTACAGAATTCTTGTATTCTAAGTTTACTTTCTCAACTGGGAAGTTTTAAACTCTACCATTGCTGGCCACAACAGGGATTTGCTCATCTGCTGAGATATGGAAATGGATTCATTTTAATGTTTGTTTGAAAAGACTGAAGACGGTGTGTATTGTATTTCAAGAGGATATTCCAGACCGCTTGTTATTTTATAGTAGACACTCAGCCACTTTCCAGTGATAAGTTGCAATTGTGAACTGTAGAGTTTCCTTCATATTGCAATGGTAAATATTTGATCTTGTTAATAAAAATTTTTTAAATTGTATTTTCACTGTTGGGGGAAAACACATAAGGCTGCCAATTTAAGCAAGCAAAATCCCCTCCAAAGCAAGCAAACAGCCTCAAACCCCCCCCCAAAAAACAAAACAAAACAAAAATAAACTTAGGAAAAACAACAACCAAAAAAAGCCCTTCACAAAACTAGGAAAAAAGCCCAGCTGATAGTTACCCCTTTAAAAGCAAGCAGACGTCCCTTCAAAAGCAAGCACCACGCACAGCCTATTAAACCAGCTCATGAACCTAAAAACTCAAGCTGGTGATATTCAAGACCCTTAACCAATATCTTACCATAACTCTCATATGAGTCTCTGTAGGATCCTCCACTTGGATGATCTGAATAGTCACGATCCCGTCCATAGCCATCTCTGTCACTAAATTAAAAAGAAACTTTTAAGTCCCAGAACGTCAACTTTTACAGCAAATTTCCACAATCAAGCATAGAAAGTCACTTACCTATAGCCTCTTGATGGATAGTCATCACGTGAACTGGAATGACCATAGTCACGGTAAGTATAATCTCTTGGTGGTGGTGCATAATCTCTTGTATCACGGGAACTTGGGTAATCTCTGCTTGAATAGCTATACAAATAAAAGTTGGGATTATGCCTGATTTGCTATTCCTCCATATCAATTATTAATGAAGAAACTGCAATCTATTACCTGTCTTTAGTAGAATATCCATCATCTCTCGGGGACAAATAAACATCTCTGCGAGAAGGCAGGGGTTCCCTTCGAGGTGGGCCTCCATAACTATCTCTTCCACGTGACACAGGGGCTTAAAGAAAAACAAAACAAAACAAAATCGAACATTTAAAAAAATCTAGCCAAAGAAAAGTTAAAATGTGAACTGACATTCAGGTTATGGGAAGTAAACCAAAAATTTTCTTTAGAATTTCCTATTCACATCTTCTTTGCAGTGTTCATTAATTGCATTACTAGACTGTCTGATATCCAAATCTTTTTTTTTTGAGGTACTGGTGGTTGAATTCATGCTTGCTAGGCAGATGCTCAACCACTTCAGCCACTCCGCCAGCCACTGAATCAGTTTTAAGCATCATTTTTAGGAGTTACCTCTCAAATCTTCGAATTATGGTGGCAGCAGATATACATGCATGCATGCAACATTTACCTCTTCCTCCCATTCCACTACTGCTGCGAACTGGTCCTGAAGGTGCGGATCTTTTAGGAGGAGGACCCCCACTCCGTGGTGGTGGTCCCCTTTTCACTGGAAGCGGTCCCCTGGAAGAACTCATGTTAAAATTCATGGAATAGCCACCATCATCTATATTAGAATAGAAAGAAAATATATTAACACAGAATCAAAACAAAAACTACCAATTCTTTGCTTCATCAAGGATACAATCATCTTTTCTGCTTAGTTGGGGAGCCTAGCTTTAGATTTCAATTGTACAAGACCAGGCATTAAGTTATATAGACTGGGAAAATAAAAATGAAGGGCAGAGCTGGGGACATAGCTCAATTGGCAAAGCTACTGCCTAGCATGTACAAGGCCCTGGGTCTGATTCCCAGCAAAAGGAAAAAAAGATAGCCCTAAAGTTACTTCAAAGACACACTTTCACTTTCATATATTAAAAACCCATGCTTATCAAAAAGAAATTGTTCTTTAATATCTTTTCTATAGAATGAACTACTTAGATAATAATGTAGGTCCATCATTTAAATTAATACTATAACTTAGGAGGCCTTCCATTATTTTCCTTTTAAGTCTTCCACTTCAATAGGTGAGCAAATGTTCTTAATTTCAAAGGCCTGAGCCTTTCAACAAAGCCTCAAGGAAAGAATATACCCTGGTGTGGGTTTGCAGTTCCTAACTTCAAACAACTCAGGGTCACCCAAGTCCTTACCCATGTGTCCTCCACGTGAAGGAGGTCCCCTAGTTCCTCCACTTCCTCCTCTTCCTCCTCTAAGACCTCTGGGAGGACCCCTGCTTCTTGGAGGTGGAGGTGGTCCACGTCTACCACTTTCAAATGATGGTTTGGTGGCCTGTTCCACTTTGATGGCTTTCCCATCTAAGGACTTTATAAAAAAAAAAAAAAAAGCAATTAAAATATCAAAATATCAAGACTTAAAAAAGGAACTATGCACTATCACACCAAAAGGCCACTCAAAATACCTAAGTTGTACTCACCAAGTAGGAAAGAAAAACACTATAAATAGTATTTCTATAAACTACACTTTTCCATTCACTTAAACATGTACCTAAGTAAGAATGATACTGATAACCTGAACCAAAGCATAAGGTGGTACAAGCTTATTATCAAAACCAATAACCGGTATTAAAAACTGTTGTAAAGGGGTAACAAGAGTAATGCAAGAGGTTGAACAGACCAAAGTAAAGTATACCCAGTGGGCATACTTTGAGATGCCCCTTTGAACATCAACTTACATGTTAGTAATGAAAACCAGGACTGTAAAATAGGTACAGTGTGTGTGTGGGGATACTAGTGGGAGTGTGGGTGAAGGAATATTAAAGTGACAGTATATGGTAGATGAACTTCATATATGAAACAGAACTAAGAAATCTTTTTGCAATTGCTTTAAGGGGGTGGGGCAGGGGTTGAGTGGGGGGAGACCATGGGGGCAACATAATGTACAATATAAGTCTAATTGGAATTGTCGCTATGAATCCCCAACATAATGAATATATCCTAATAAAAAATTTATCAAAAAGAAAAAAAAAAAAACTAATAACCAATGTGTCAAGGGCGCTGGTGTCTCACATCTGTAATCCTAGTCAGGAGGCAGAGATCAGGAGGATTGAGGTTCCAAGCCAGCTTGAGGCAAATAGTTCGTACCTACAAGACCCTATCACGAAAAAACCTACCATCACAAAAATAGGGCTGGTGGAGTGGCTTAAGGTGAAGGCCTTGAGTTCAACCCCCAGTACTGGGGAAAAAAAAAAAAGAAAGTTCTGGAGAGGTAATCACTCAAAACAATAAAAAGTTTAGAGCTGCCCTGGGCCAGACTTGTTACTGTTTCCCCGATTATTTTATTCACTAGGAAGCATGGTGTCATTCAGACAATCTCACCTTTCCATTCATGTCTCTGGCTGCATCCTTGGCATCTGCTGGGCTTTCAAAGGTGACAAAAGCAAATCCTCTAGATTTGTTGGTTTCACGGTCTTTCATCAGAAGTACTAAAAGGCAGATTAAGAAGAAATATCGTTAGACTAGTTCCGACGAAATAACAGAAGTAAATTTGTATGAAGAAAAAGCTCAGAACTTCTTAGAGGACAAAATACATTATCATGTCAGATGATCAGTGCATTCAAATTCATCATCGCATATCTTTTAATTACAATAAAAGCAGCATGTGCTTTCTGATTAACTCACCTTCCACTATTCGTCCATATTTGCCAAATACTGCTTCAAGGGCTTTCTCATTTGTTTCTGTATTAAGCCCGCCAATGAAGAGCTTTCCTGGGCGATCTGCTTCAACCATTTTTTTTTTTCAGCAGATGATAGTCTACTAAAAGATAATATTATCTCCCTTAAGTAAGTTCCCAAAGTTCGCTGACACCTTAATAGTGGCTCATGTTTTACTAAACCCTTTATTCTTTTAGTAACAAAAGACACCGATAAGCCTCACACAGTAGGAAAGCAATTTAAACTGAGTTCAGTAATAGTGCGATTTACATTAAACTGGTTAAAAGGGCCAACATAATTTTCACCATTACCCTTAATCTCTCTTGGCTGTTTTCAATCAATTAACAGGCACTTAACACTTGAAAAACACAATTTTTTTTTGTTTTAAACCTAGATTCGTTATCTAGGTAATGATTCTGTTACTTATCGCAACCGTTGCCCCGCCCCACCCCCGCAGTGATGGGTTTTAAAAGATAACCCATTCATTCAAGGTCACTGGCCAGATGCAAGACCTTAGCACCTAGCCCCTTTTTAATGGCTTTTTTTCTCAATAGGATTCCTAGTAAGTAGGAGCACAAATCTGAAGTTTCAACCAAGTTATGCCGCATCTTCCCCACCCACTGAAAAGGTTTCTATTTGACTTTAAGAAATAAAACAAAGTGCCAACATCGTTTCATATTAAATAACGGAACGGAGAAGGGCAATGTAAATCTTAACACCCAAGACTGCGGCGGAGCCTAATTAAGACTCGTCATTAAAAACCGCGTGGAAAAGACAAAATGGCGACACTTGGATTCAACCCAGAACCGACACCAGTCGCGGAACTAACTTTTTAATAACACTGGCTGAGAAAATCCAAAAGGCTTCCTTTCTAGGGCCGCCAATGAACAAGGAACGCGCATACACGTCCACATGCCCGACGTTACACCCAGCACCATTCTAAAGCAGGTACCGCGGTGGCGCGGTCGCTCCTCAACCCGCTCCAGCCTACAAAGCTTCGACCTCCGCCCCCACTCCCGCAGGCGACAAACTTTCTCAACGCATACAACGAAACGGACCCCCTAGTGTTTTCCTTCGACCCCCCCCCCCTCAGCTTTAAAGTAGGTCGGCACCTTTGTGTGTCTTAAAATGGCGCCCGCCACCCCCATCTCCAGAGAGAAAACCTCAAGCTCTAACGTGGCAGAAGTGTTCGAAAAACGAACTAAGGGAAGGAGACACATACCAGAGAGGGTGGCGACGGTCTCAAGCTCCTAAAGAGCTCGCCGACGGGGTCTTCCAAGCAGCTCAGTACGAGTGACTGCTGCCGGGACCCGGAACACCACAGACAAGCCGCTAGGACTACTGCGCAACGAGGGCGAACAAAGGAGACAGCAAACTTTATACTACCCGGGAACGAGGCTGAAGAACCCGGATGGAAACGAAGCTTAGAATTTGAAACGCGAAGGGAGGGGGAGCGGTTCCCAGTCTCTTGGTTGGCTGTCTCCTGTGTCATTCACCTGTCGCTCCTCCCTCTTCCCATGGCTCTTGGCGTTCCAGCCGGCGCCCGATTCTAACCGTCTTCCCTGCCCCCACCCGTGCTCCTCAAAGGCGCGTTTTTGCTTTCTGCTAAAATGGTGCACAGGCTTCATTTAATAAAGAAGTGAAATTTATTGAGCATCCTAGTGGGCCAAACACGGTGCAAAATTTCACTTTTACTTTTCCATAAACTTTTAATTCTAAAAGCGATGGCATTGTATGCACATACGAATAAAAGAAAAAAAAATAAAAGCAATGAGATACGGTTAGATACTATTATGCCAATTTTGAAGAAACAGAAAACAAAGGTTAGCTGAGACAAATATATATATGTGTATATGTATATGTTTATACACATATATTTACCAAAATTCTCTTAAGCAAGAATTTTTAATGAATGGGTGACATTCTGCTAAATAAATGTCAGGTGAGAACAAAACATAAAGAATGGCACGCAGAGAATTCATTCATATAGAATTACTACTGAACACCTCAACTTAGAGGCAAGGCCTTGAGACTACAACCCAGAACAAGTGAGACTAGGGCCAGGCAGCCTCTTGGATAAGACTGCCAGATTTAGCAGATAAAAATAACAGCCATTTAAGTTTGAATTTCATTTAAGTTTGAATTACTTTTATTTGGTTTATGTTCCAAATATCATATATGAAAAGTTATTTGTTGACCTGAAATTCAAATTTAAGAGGGTATTTTTTTATCTGCTCATGCTACTAGTGGAGGGAAAAAAATACAAATTAAAAATTTTTAATTTCTCTAAAAATTATAAAGAAAAAATTACATATAATCAACAAACAGAATAATTGCATATTGTGGTTACTACTAGGGAGGAAGCAAACTAGATGTTTTAGTAAACAGTATTTCGGAGACCAAATTTGATTAAGTCGTCAGGAAAGATACATCTGAAGAGGTGACTGAAAATCAGAGAAATAGTGGGAAGAGCTGAGGGAAAAGCCTTTCAGAAGAAGAACAAATGGAAGGAAAGAGGTTGGCATGTATGCAGAGAGGCCCATAGTGAAAGGGATTTAAGGGACATAAAATGAGCAAGCCAAGATAGGCAGGACCTGTGAGCCCATTAAAATACCATAGCAAGGTAAGGGTGGAATCACAGACACCAATAGAACTCTGGGAGAAGACCAGACAGGATAGTGGCTTAATTTAGGGTGGTGGCAGTGGACATGGAGAGGAAGGAACAATTAGATGCATATGGCATGTAGTTGGACACGATTTGCTAATGAACCACATGGTATTATGCTATGAATATTTACGTTTTCCCCAAAATTCCTTTGTTCAAATTCTAAGCCCCCAAGGTGATGCTGTTATGAAGTACAGCCTTTCGGAGGTGATTAGGTCATGAGAGCCCTGATAAAAGTGTCCCATTCTACTGTGAGGACACAGTGAGAAGGTACCATCTGTGAAAAAGGAAACTGGTGGTGGTGGTGGTCTCTCACCAATACTTAATCTGCTGATGCCTTGGTCCTTGACTTCCCAGACTCCAGAACTGCGAGAAACGAATTTCTGTTGTTTATACTATTGTTTATAATATCACCCAGTTTATTGTATTTTTTTTATAACAGCATGAATGGACTAAGGGTACAGCTGTAGAAGAATTGAGGAAACAGCAGAAATAGTTATGACTGACTCTGAGTATCTAGTGTTAGTAGACAGGTATCTAGTATTAGTAGACAGGTGATTATCGAAATGGTTGCAGAGGAGCAGGTTTGGGATATGGGGACAGAGAAATCTGATGTTTGAAGTTGAGATTTTTTTCCGAGTAGGTCTTTTCTCCCTGTCACCTAAGAGATAGTAATAAAAGCCATCAGAATGTATGAAACCACCAAAGAAGACAGGACAATGTGAAAAGAAGACCCAATATCATACAATATAAACTATTAAATATGTACATGGAAGGAAAATACCTGGGAGGAAATATCCTAAAATGTTACTAATTTATATTGGGGCAAATTTCTTCAGAGTTACAATTTACCTGCCCTTGGCAAATTATGGTATATGCCAGACAGGTTACAGTAAATAATGTTCAGGTCATAAGGAAAAGCCCCCACGGAGCTTTAGACGTAGCTCTGAATTATTAACTTTAATGGAAGGAATTATGCTCAGTAGGGCAAGAATGTATGTTCTTATTTTTTTCCCAGCCAAATAATAACATGCAAAGTAAAAGTCATGTCCATCTGTCTTCAGAATTAATTATATAAATTATTAACTCTGGGGACTGTTGAGATTGGCCAGGTTGGCAAAAATGACTGACATACCAGGCTCAAAGAGCAGAGCCAGTACCCCCAGGGGAGGCCAGGAGAAACCTCCCACCTTGGGAAAGCAGGTACTGTCTTGTGTTGCAGATCCAGACTGAAGATCCTAGACTAGACTCCTAGCCCAAGCCAGATCTCCCTCAGTCCAGGGCAGAACAAGGCAGGCTCCACAACAGATGGCCCTGCTTCCCTGGGTCTCAACAAGGAAAGGTGCATCCCTGTGGACCTAAATCCCTCTAGCTTTTGCAGTTAGTGCCCCAGAATGTGAACAAGAGAGAGAGAGTCCGGTGCTCTGGATAGAGGTGAGAAAGGAACGCGACAACACTTCCAAGGACCAGAAGTCAGAGGGAAGGGTTGGGAGCATGGCTCATTGAAGAAATTGTACAATGGGATCAGTATGGGTATAGCATACAGTGGGAAACAGTAAAAGGAAGAAGCTAGAGAGGGAGGCAGAGGGCCTACTGACTAGATCCAGAGAGCAATGGAGAGAGGAACCATTTTAAGAAGTGGAGCAAAGTAATTAGATTTCATTAACAAGATTACTAAGGCTGCAGTCTGGAGAGTGAGAAGGGAGAGGGAGGGACAGGAAGCAAGGGGACAAAATAAGATGATATTGCTGATATAATCCAGGAGAGAGAGGGTGGGGGCATGCTGAGTGTGAGGAACTCTGTTGGAAAAGCAGGTCTCACACTGCCCAAAAATAATCTCAGAGTCCCTTCCTTCCTCCTCATAGATCTTCTAGATTTTTCCCTTTGCCTCTTTTTTTTCCTTTGGCTCATTGTTTCTCTCCAGATCCCATCTCAGTAATTGACTGGTAGACTGAGTAAAGCAATATTACTTCACCACTAACTAACCTTGCATATAATCAGTGCGAACTATTTGCTCAGGCTGGCTTCAAACCACAATCCTCCTGATTTCTGCCTCCTGAGTAGCTAGGATTACAGGTGTGAGCCACCAGAGCCCAGCCAGGGATGATGGACTTTTGAATAAATTATGTTGACACAATTAGAGAGCCATTTGAAGGAAAAAGAGATCTGGATTCATGGTACATTTTTGCTCCAAAATAAATTCCAGGGCTGGCAGAGTGGCTCAAGTGGTAGCAAGCTTGAGGCCCTGAGTTCAAACCCCAACCCCCACACAAAAAAAGAATACACTGTATTCAATACAAGGTAGAGAGCAAGGGCCAAAGCAAGAGACTTGTAATTAAGTTTTGGATCCAGGTAGTATCAGTGGAGGGGGTGAGTTGCTGGATTCTGAATATATTTTGAGGGTACAGTCAAAAAGATTTCCTGACACAAAACTCAGAAAGAAGAAAGATTCATTTAAGTATGAAAGCATTCGTTCATTCTTAAACTGCTTTAACTGGCTCCTTCTTTTCTGGTGGATTTTAAAATATGAAAATATTAGAACTTCTCTAGGTTTATTGATAGACCCTTCTTCCTCCTCCCTGTCCCGTCCCCTCCCCCTCCCCTCATGATCCTCCTACCTCAGCCTCCCAACAACAGCTTCCTGTTGTCCTTGCATTCTAGCTCATTCTTTAGGCAATCTCATCCGTTCCCAGGATGTTTACTACAATAAACATCTCTATGTTTACTGAATTTATATTTTTCTTTCTTTTTTTTCTTTTCGGTGCTGGGGATTAAACCCATGCATGCTAGGTAAGCTTTCCCAGCCCTTCCTATTCCTTTAACAAATACGTCCCTTGAGCTGCCCAGCTTGCATAGCCAAATTCCCACTTGACATTACCACTTGGTTGCCTTAAATCCATTAATTTACTCCTTTCACGAATATTTCTGGAGTAGCTAATATGTGTGAGACACTCCTAAAGACTATCTACAATGGCAAATGAATAAAATAGACTGGGTCTGTGCCCTCCTGAAGCTTACAGTCCAATGGGGGGATGGATGCAAGAAAATTGAGAAAAGATAGGAGAAACTCGTACAAAGAAAATGAGTTGTATAATAGACAATAAAAGTATGTGTGTGCTAGAGGAGGAAATCTACTTAGAATACTTAGGGAAGAGCTAAGGAAGTGACGTGGAAGCTCAAGAATTCAACGAGAAGCAACCACTCCTGGGAATAAATGTGAGAAGAACATTTTAGAGAGTTGCAACAGCATAAGCAAAGGTCCTGCTGAGGAAAAAGACTTTAATGTATTTGAAGAACTTCAATGAAGCAACTGGAACTGGAACATAGTGATCAAGTGAAAACAGTAATAAGAGATCAAGTGGGAGGGTTAGGAAGGTGACAGATCACACAGGATTTGTAGATCACGGCAAGGGCTTTGGGGTTTGGTTTAAGAACAATGTGAAGCCATTGAAGGAATTCCAGAATAACTTGAGCTGATTTGTGTTTTGCCAACTTCACACTGGGAGCTGTGTGGTTAACAGGGCAGTGTGGGAGCTGGGAGACCTCTTAGGAGTTTTAAACAGTGTTCTGAGATGTCTTGGACTACAGTAGTGGTTATGAGATGGAGAGAAGTGAATAGATCAGAAATATATTTAGGAAGTTGAAGCAATGCAGAATAGCTTAGCTAAGAACATGGACTCTGATGCTAAATGCCTGGGTGAATTTGGACAAATCCATACGTTCTCTGTACCTCACGCTCCTCA